TCCCTGCTTGCTGGGCTGCCACCACAAAAAGACATGTTTCTTGCTGCAGCTTGACTGAGTGGCAGTGCTGATGCGTGAAGAAGAAAACCTTGATGATTTCAATTCCTTTAGCGTTCTAACACAAACCATGGCCTTATCCCTTTTGAAGAGATCTGGGAACAGATAAAGATTGTTAACACTGAATTAATAGATGTAGTGCAAATAATCAGGATGTAGTAAAAGACAAAATGTCCAAAACCATAGTGATAGCTCTTTTTTTCCCCCTCTCTTCTTTTTGTTGCATAGAGGAGGGAGGAGATGAAAGAAACATTATCCAAGACTCCTTTTGCCATCAACCCCTCTTGAATAAAGAAATACTGGAAGAGCTGCTCTGCAGCAAATGGTGTTAGTTTCTGTGCATCAGCGTGATTTTAGATTCCAAGGCTTATTTGTAGGATTCAGCATTTTTGTAACAGCTACATGCAAAGAGGAAAGGAAGCAAAAGAAGTTAGACATTATCCACTTATGCCTGGGCAGAGACATTTTTTCCCAGCTAGAAAAATAAATAAAGCTATATTTAAATGCCTATTCATTGGTATAACATGTTGAGGACCCCTAGAACTGAAAGTTTCTGCTGGTCCCATTTCTGTTTTAATAATGGGAAGCCTTCTTGTGAGGAAAATAGCATAGAGTTTATAAAACTGATTGTCTATTGAAGGAGAGTTCAGATTCTGGAATTGGTGCAAGTAAGTAAAAGATGCTTGCAGTGTCAGATGCTGCTTTCATGAGCCACGTGCAGTAAATGAGAACTGAGCCTGTGACAGGTCTAATCTGAGCACCACAACTGTTTGGAGCAAGGAGGAACTGCTGAAGTTTAAAATAAATAAAAAGGCATATGTGGGGGTCTTAATACTCTATGTAGGGAACAGATAGCAGGTGTAATAGTAATCTGTGTAATTTGCTAGTGCATATTAAAGAGAAGGTCACACAGAGAAGTCATTGCTTCCTATCCTCAGCCTGATTGGTACCTGTGCCCATGGATCTCTTCTCTCCTTGTTGTTACACTTGCAGAGTCCAGAAAATCACTCGCTGCTCCCTGGAGTCCTTAGAAGGCTATTTCCTGTATAGATCAGGCCATTAAGGTATGAGGGTTCCTGCTGTCCTTCCTTGCTTACACTACACTGAATCGATAGCAAAGCAATTAGAAGATACTGTGTCACTTTTTAGTCTCTTTTTTTTTCTTTTTTTTTTTTCCTATCAAGAAATTCTGCCCAGGGAGAAATTTCACAGAGCTGGCCTTCCATCCTGCACTTCAGAATTTGTTTTGTTTTGCAGGCATTTGCTAACCTGAGTTAGGCCATTACCCCAGAATTTAGAGTTCAGGCCTCTTTCCACCCCCAGCCTGTGAATAAGCCGGGCATCCTGGAGCATCTGCTGACATCTGTCCTGTTTTGTTCCTCCAAAGCAGGCACAGCACACCCATGGCACAGCTCCCTTCCCTCTCCAGCTTTTTCCAGATACCGAGGAGAGTTGTGTGAATCACTAGGGGTTAGGGCTCTAGAGCACTTGCACTTTCTTGCCTTCCATTGCCTCTGTTTTTGGTGATGTCCCTGTGAATACTTGCTTCGTCTGCTTCTTCTAGGCAGTGGTTCAGTAATGCTGAGCTCCAGCAAAATTACAGTTTTCTGCTGTGCAGCTCCTGTTTCAAACTGTGTTTCCTGACCACAGACAGGGGCATGCCCTCCCTGTCATGCTGAGGCTGCTCTGCAGCATGTGTTGGATCCCTGGCTGCATGAAAAACTGGGAGGTGTGGCATGTTTCTTGGGTTTGTCTTGTTTTGAAGTTAGGACGGTTCATGATGCTGCCCACAGCCCATCGTGGCAAGCTGTAACTCAGCTGAGCCGTGTGGGACCTCTGAGGGGATGACTTGGGGCTCCTTGAGCTGATCCTGTTTGACAAAGCTGCTCTTTCCTCAAACCAGTGTGAACCAGCAGCCCTGGAAAACTTACCTGGAACTCCAGGTTTGTTCACAACTGCCTCTGCACTTCTGTAGAATGTCAGGGGAACCTGGTCATAGTCTTATCAAAGCAATTGCAGGAGTGGAAGCACAGTCTGTCTTCATTCCTCAGGCTCAGGAAGATGGCAAAATGTCCATTTATGGGTTTTGTAAGTTTAAGTTTAATGACAGGGCTAGAATTTCAGTCTGTATTTCTAAACCATCACCTAAATTCTGTAGAAATTGGTGCTTTCAACCCTGCCTGGCTTTCGTTTTACAGGTGTCTGCGTCTCTAAGATGTCTTAGAAAGTAGTTATGGCTTCCAGTTTTAGACATAAGGAAAAGATTGAATTTATTTTTAAGGCTCAGAAGGAGAAATTCAAAGGTTAACAGTTGGATGATATATCAGATGTTGCTTGCTATGTGTATCTGCTCTTTATTTTTGCATTTCCTTTGCTTCTCCAGGTGTCATCTTGACATGAGTACATTCAAGCTTGGCACAAAGGAGTATATGAAACTTGCTTGTAGGGGTGGAGAAAAGAATCTGCAGCATCCTTATGTGTATCAAAATGCCTTGTAAAAGCTCTTTAAAGAGTGAGAATTCAATTCTGTGAAATAGTTTTGATGAGCACTTGGTACAAACATGAAAAACGTCATCTCTGCACTCTGTGCAAGCACAATATACACACATTATAGAGCAATTAACATTAGTAAAGAGACTGGTTATGTCTAATTAGTAGCACAGGATAGGTGAGAAGGTTTTTGAAGTGTCCTGCTCAGAAGTGGCATTAATCCAGTAATATCCAAGCAGTAAACTCTGTAATGCTTTTCCAAACGGCCTGGTTAGTCCTGAGGGTGTTTGGGCTTTGATGTGGCACATGTAATTTAATGAACTTTTAAAGAGACCTCCAGGCAACAGCCCAAACTCAGAAGGGCAGAGGGGAAAATGCTGATGGACAGTCCTACTGAGCTAGAACACAGAGGCTGTGAACGAAAAGCTGCTGAATGGGCTGGTGGCTGAAAGAAGGAAAGCAACTGCTCTTGGACTCGCTAATGGGCTTTTTGTCCAAACTGGAGCCATCTCTTTCTTGAGGAAGTTATTTGTGTTGGAAATCAGGCCACAGCCAGGCTGGAGCAGGAAGGAAGAGGCGGATAGTTAGTGATCTCAAAAGGGTGTGCTCTGGCTGCAGAACGACAGCTGTGGAAGAAGTAGGTTGGCTGGGAGGGCATTGAACTTGGCAAGAAAGCTTCTCCAGCTCCTTGGACCACCGAAAATCTGGCGTCATGCTGGAGCCTTTGGGGCAGAGCTGAGGGGGCTGCAGGGTGGTCACGGCGGCGGGGCTCGCTGCCCGTTCAGCTGAGGAGCCAGCAGCCCTCCTGAGCCTGCTCGTCCCCTCCCGCAACCTCTCTCTGCTTCACAAAAATACAAAAATGTGCACTTGGCAGAGGAACACTTGTCACCCTTTTCCTGTTCCTAGCCTGAAAAAGAAGAGAAGCCTCTTAACCTTCTGTCCAGTAGTTCCCGAGTGCTTTCCCAGCATTTCATAAAGTGTTACAGGCCTTTCCTGCTACCTTACTGTGTCTGGGTTGCTGAAAGGCATGTTCAAGCAGCAAAGAAGTGTAAGGTTTTTTTTTCCAGTGATGCAAATTGTCTTTATTGGAGTCAATAAAGAAACCAGAATTTGCTACTTCCTTCCTGTGACCTTCAAATCATGTGTTTCCCTGTATGGAGAGGTGCCTGCATCATCGGTTGTGCCGTAGCTTGGGGATTGGATGGAAAAGCGATCTCATTTTCTTGGGCTGATTCATAGGTCCCTAATGACAGGTTACATGTTAATACTTGTTGTCAGCAATTATCATTAGTTGTGTTTTGGCTGGAACCTGATAGCAAACACAAGTGAGAAGAGCTCCAGGCTAAGGCCTGGTAGTGCAGCAGTGATACTTCTTGTTTGCCTGTTTGAAAACAGTTCCCCATGGTTGTTGTAGTCCTTTTCCAAGACGAACGGATCAGAGGTGATTGCTCTTTGCTTGTTTTTTGTTCTGTTTCAATGCTTTATCGGGTTTGTTGCTGCTCCATCGTGACAATGATTATTACTACTGGGCACAAAGCATAGCATCGGGTTTGTTGCTGCTCCATCATGACAATGATTATTACTACTGGGCACAAAGTATCAAGCTCAGGCCGCAGCCATATTGTGTAGGAGCTGTATAAATATGCTGTAGAGAGGGAGTCTCTGTCACAAAGTGTTAATGGTGTCTAGAGAGACAAGGCAGAGAAGAAAAGGTGTGATTTAGCAAAGTGCCCCTGTTGCGCAAAAACTCAGTTGGAGAGTCCGACACAGAGCAGTTCTTCAAGTGGGAAGGGACACATTTCTTGTGTACAAGGTTGCAGGATCAGGAAAGATGAGCTCTTACCTCCCTTCCAGAGATTAGCGCCTTTAAAATAAGTTTGCCTTGCATGTGACAGAAAGTTCAAGCATCTAGATAGTCAAAGGTCCCTTTCTGACCCTGATGGTGTTAGAAATTTGTGTAGTATTTAAGCAGCACATTCAGATTTCCTGTGAAAATCCATATTGTTTTAAATCTCACTGAACTTTAAGGATTTGCATTGCACCTAAAAGTCTCTTCTTCCAGCAGCTGGGGGGTAGGTGGGAGGCTCCTTAGCAGAGGGATTCTCCTCTGTTTGTAAGTACTGCAAACAAGTAGACAAGTAGGGAAAAAAAATTGCTCTTTCCTATCCAGTGGTGGGTGAGGTAGTTCTGTGTCCATCTCAGATTCCAAATCTCTCCTCACTGCCCATCGAGCTCTTTCCAGTTCCAAGGACCAATTGTTTCTCTGTTCCTCGATCTAGGAAGCTGGACAGCCCAGAGATGGTGAAAGTCTTGTGATGGAGTGACGTCCTTTGACTGGAGAAAGTGCTAAGAGTAGCCTTTGCCACCATCTTTGAGCTCAGATACATGTAGGTGCCAATTGAAAGGAGAATTTTGCTGGCTCACTGACATTGCTCTCTCCTATTCCTTTGCAGCTCCTGTATGACAACCCCAAAGCCCGACAGGAAGTAGAATACCATTGGCGAGCATCAGGATGTCCCCACATTGTCCATGTCCTGGATGTTTATGAGAATATACATCATGGAAAGAGATGCCTCCTCATTGTCATGGAATGGTATGGACCAGCAGCAGCCTCCCACCAAGCATTGCTCTCTGAGGGGATGGAGGGAGTGGGAGATGTGTTGGCTTAGATGAGGGTTAGGTGACCCTTCTCAGCAGTGCAATTTTGGTTTGCACAGCAAACCTTTTGTTGTCTTTATGGACCTGGTAGGGAAATGTATAGCTGCTCCAGTCACAGAATCACAGAATCTTCATCTTGTGTGATGGAAGAATGAGGAACCTTAACCAGAAAATAAATTTTCCTTGTACTCCATGACAATTGCTCTCATTAAAGCATTGACTAATTAATACAATCTTGAAAGATAGTCACTGCAAATATGATGCACTTTGAGTGTGATTGGTTTCTAACTTCAGCTGCAAATCCTATGATCTGACATGATACTTTTTGCTACTATTTTGACTCCCACTTTTCTTCTTCTCTCCTTGATCTGTAGTACCACAGTTATTGTCTTCACTGGGGACAAATTAGTAATTCTTCTCAGTATCTTTGCTTCCTTCTTTCTTTTTTCTTCATCTCTAACCCTTATATAAAACAAGGTCATTTTTTTTTCTTTTTTTTTTTTCCTATCAAGAAATTCTGCCCAGGGAGAAATTTCACAGAGCTGGCCTTCCATCCTGCACTTCAGAATTTGTTTTGTTTTGCAGGCATTTGCTAACCTGAGTTAGGCCATTACCCCAGAATTTAGAGTTCAGGCCTCTTTCCACCCCCAGCCTGTGAATAAGCCGGGCATCCTGGAGCATCTGCTGACATCTGTCCTGTTTTGTTCCTCCAAAGCAGGCACAGCACACCCATGGCACAGCTCCCTTCCCTCTCCAGCTTTTTCCAGATACCGAGGAGAGTTGTGTGAATCACTAGGGGTTAGGGCTCTAGAGCACTTGCACTTTCTTGCCTTCCATTGCCTCTGTTTTTGGTGATGTCCCTGTGAATACTTGCTTCGTCTGCTTCTTCTAGGCAGTGGTTCAGTAATGCTGAGCTCCAGCAAAATTACAGTTTTCTGCTGTGCAGCTCCTGTTTCAAACTGTGTTTCCTGACCACAGACAGGGGCATGCCCTCCCTGTCATGCTGAGGCTGCTCTGCAGCATGTGTTGGATCCCTGGCTGCATGAAAAACTGGGAGGTGTGGCATGTTTCTTGGGTTTGTCTTGTTTTGAAGTTAGGACGGTTCATGATGCTGCCCACAGCCCATCGTGGCAAGCTGTAACTCAGCTGAGCCGTGTGGGACCTCTGAGGGGATGACTTGGGGCTCCTTGAGCTGATCCTGTTTGACAAAGCTGCTCTTTCCTCAAACCAGTGTGAACCAGCAGCCCTGGAAAACTTACCTGGAACTCCAGGTTTGTTCACAACTGCCTCTGCACTTCTGTAGAATGTCAGGGGAACCTGGTCATAGTCTTATCAAAGCAATTGCAGGAGTGGAAGCACAGTCTGTCTTCATTCCTCAGGCTCAGGAAGATGGCAAAATGTCCATTTATGGGTTTTGTAAGTTTAAGTTTAATGACAGGGCTAGAATTTCAGTCTGTATTTCTAAACCATCACCTAAATTCTGTAGAAATTGGTGCTTTCAACCCTGCCTGGCTTTCGTTTTACAGGTGTCTGCGTCTCTAAGATGTCTTAGAAAGTAGTTATGGCTTCCAGTTTTAGACATAAGGAAAAGATTGAATTTATTTTTAAGGCTCAGAAGGAGAAATTCAAAGGTTAACAGTTGGATGATATATCAGATGTTGCTTGCTATGTGTATCTGCTCTTTATTTTTGCATTTCCTTTGCTTCTCCAGGTGTCATCTTGACATGAGTACATTCAAGCTTGGCACAAAGGAGTATATGAAACTTGCTTGTAGGGGTGGAGAAAAGAATCTGCAGCATCCTTATGTGTATCAAAATGCCTTGTAAAAGCTCTTTAAAGAGTGAGAATTCAATTCTGTGAAATAGTTTTGATGAGCACTTGGTACAAACATGAAAAACGTCATCTCTGCACTCTGTGCAAGCACAATATACACACATTATAGAGCAATTAACATTAGTAAAGAGACTGGTTATGTCTAATTAGTAGCACAGGATAGGTGAGAAGGTTTTTGAAGTGTCCTGCTCAGAAGTGGCATTAATCCAGTAATATCCAAGCAGTAAACTCTGTAATGCTTTTCCAAACGGCCTGGTTAGTCCTGAGGGTGTTTGGGCTTTGATGTGGCACATGTAATTTAATGAACTTTTAAAGAGACCTCTAGGCAACAGCCCAAACTCAGAAGGGCAGAGGGGAAAATGCTGATGGACAGTCCTACTGAGCTAGAACACAGAGGCTGTGAACGAAAAGCTGCTGAATGGGCTGGTGGCTGAAAGAAGGAAAGCAACTGCTCTTGGACTCGCTAATGGGCTTTTTGTCCAAACTGGAGCCATCTCTTTCTTGAGGAAGTTATTTGTGTTGGAAATCAGGCCACAGCCAGGCTGGAGCAGGAAGGAAGAGGCGGATAGTTAGTGATCTCAAAAGGGTGTGCTCTGGCTGCAGAACGACAGCTGTGGAAGAAGTAGGTTGGCTGGGAGGGCATTGAACTTGGCAAGAAAGCTTCTCCAGCTCCTTGGACCACCGAAAATCTGGCGTCATGCTGGAGCCTTTGGGGCAGAGCTGAGGGGGCTGCAGGGTGGTCACGGCGGCGGGGCTCGCTGCCCGTTCAGCTGAGGAGCCAGCAGCCCTCCTGAGCCTGCTCGTCCCCTCCCGCAACCTCTCTCTGCTTCACAAAAATACAAAAATGTGCACTTGGCAGAGGAACACTTGTCACCCTTTTCCTGTTCCTAGCCTGAAAAAGAAGAGAAGCCTCTTAACCTTCTGTCCAGTAGTTCCCGAGTGCTTTCCCAGCATTTCATAAAGTGTTACAGGCCTTTCCTGCTACCTTACCGTGTCTGGGTTGCTGAAAGGCATGTTCAAGCAGCAAAGAAGTGTAAGGGTTTTTTTTCCAGTGATGCAAATTGTCTTTATTGGAGTCAATAAAGAAACCAGAATTTGCTACTTCCTTCCTGTGACCTTCAAATCATGTGTTTCCCTGTATTGAGAGGTGCCTGCATCATCGGTTGTGCCTCAGCTTGGCGATTGGATGGAAAAGCGATCTCATTTTCTTGGGCTGATTCATAGGTCCCTAATGACAGGTTACATGTTAATACTTGTTGTCAGCAATTATCATTAGTTGTGTTTTGGCTGGAACCTGATAGCAAACACAAGTGAGAAGAGCTCCAGGCTAAGGCCTGGTAGTGCAGCAGTGATACTTCTTGTTTGCCTGTTTGAAAACAGTTCCCCATGGTTGTTGTAGTCCTTTTCCAAGACGAACGGATCAGAGGTGATTGCTCTTTGCTTGTTTTTTGTTCTGTTTCAATGCTTTATCGGGTTTGTTGCTGCTCCATCGTGACAATGATTATTACTACTGGGCACAAAGCATCAAGCTCAGGCCGCAGCCGTATTGTGTAGGAGCTGTATAAATATGCTGTAGAGAGGGAGTCTCTGTCACAAAGTGTTAATGGTGTCTAGAGAGACAAGGCAGAGAAGAAAAGGTGTGATTTAGCCAAGTGCCCCTGTTGTGCAAAAACTCAGTTGGAGAGTCTGATACAGAGCAGTTCTTCAAGTGGGAAGGGACACATTTCTTGTGTACAAGGTTGCAGGATCAGGAAAGATGAGCTCTTACCTCCCTTCCAGAGATTAGCGCCTTTAAAATAAGTTTGCCTTGCATGTGACAGAAAGTTCAAGCATCTAGATAGTCAAAGGTCCCTTTCTGACCCTGATGGTGTTAGAAATTTGTGTAGTATTTAAGCAGCACATTCAGATTTCCTGTGAAAGTCCATATTGTTTTAAATCTCACTGAACTTTAAGGATTTGCATTGCACCTAAAAGTCTCTTCTTCCAGCAGCTGGGGGGTAGGTGGGAGGCTCCTTAGCAGAGGGATTCTCCTCTGTTTGTAAGTACTGCAAACAAGTCGACAAGTAGGGAAAAAAAATTGCTCTTTCCTATCCAGCGGTGGGTGAGATAGTTCTGTGTCCATCTCAGATTCCAAACCTCTCCTCACTGCCCATCGAGCTCTTTCCAGTTCCAAGGACCAATTGTTTCTCTGTTCCTCGATCTAGGAAGCTGGACAGCCCAGAGATGGTGAAAGTCTTGTGATGGAGTGACGTCCTTTGACTGGAGAAAGTGCTAAGAGTAGCCTTTGCCACCATCTTTGAGCTCAGATACATGTAGGTGCCAATTGAAAGGAGAATTTTGCTGGCTCACTGACATTGCTCTCTCCTATTCCTTTGCAGCTCCTGTATGACAACCCCAAAGCCCGACAGGAAGTAGAATACCATTGGCGAGCATCAGGATGTCCCCACATTGTCCACGTCCTGGATGTTTATGAGAATATACATCATGGAAAGAGATGCCTCCTCATTGTCATGGAATGGTATGGACCAGCAGCAGCCTCCCACCAAGCATTGCTCTCTGAGGGGATGGAGGGAGTGGGAGATGTGTTGGCTTAGATGAGGGTTAGGTGACCCTTCTCAGCAGTGCAATTTTGGTTTGCACAGCAAACCTTTTGTTGTCTTTATGGACCTGGTAGGGAAATGTATAGCTGCTCCAGTCACAGAATGACAGAATCTTCATCTTGTGTGATGGAAGAATGAGGAACCTTAACCAGAAAATAAATTTTCCTTGTACTCCATGACAATTGCTCTCATTAAAGCATTGACTAATTAATACAATCTTGAAAGATAGTCACTGCAAATATGATGCACTTTGAGTGTGATTGGTTTCTAACTTCAGCTGCAAATCCTATGATCTGACATGATACTTTTTGCTACTATTTTGACTCCCACTTTTCTTCTTCTCTCCTTGATCTGTAGTACCACAGTTATTGTCTTCACTGGGGACAAATTAGTAATTCTTCTCAGTATCTTTGCTTCCTTCTTTCTTTTTTCTTCATCTCTAACCCTTATATAAAACAAGGTCTCTGTCAGCCTCCCCGAGCCAGCGTATCTGACTTGCCACCTATGTGTGTCATGTTTCTTGTGACAGGGCACATTAGACTGAAAGCATCAAAACTCCTTGGTCTTGTTTATTTTCTATTTATTTCATGTCAGAACGGCTTTGTGCATTGATTCAAGTGAGCGTGATGTTTAGGAAGCATTGGCTTAGGAGGCCTGTGACACCTTCTAATCTGTTCCTGTGTGATTATATGGTTGCACAGTCAGGTGTTAATTTGATCTTTTCTCCTCATGCACGGTGGGGTTTTTGTGTTCTTTATTTCAGCATGGAGGGAGGAGAGCTGTTCAGCAGGATCCAGGAGAGAGGAGACCAAGCTTTCACTGAGAGAGGTGAAAAATAACAAGTTTTATTTTTAAAGTTTGTGAAAGATTGCTTCTCCCTTTCTCTGTCCCCTTGCTTAGTTCCCTTACATGAATTTTTCTTTGATTTGATTTTTGTTTATAGTTTTAAAAAAATCTTGGTTATTTATTGGGGGTTTTTTATGATGTTTTTATTGTCTATCCAACTTTGTATTAAATGGTTATTTTTAAAAGTTCCTGAAAATCAGGAATTGCCAGAATCAGCCAAGTTCAGGCACAATGTGGAAGGTTTAGAGGAAAATTCTTCTTACAAAGCTGCTCAGCTGCTTCATTTCTGAACCACTGCAGCCTCTGTTACTCCAGTCCCTGGTCTCCAGCCAGACCACCTTGAACATGATCAACATGATCCTACTGTGATTTCTCTTCTGGCTGTCCCTCAAGCTGCATCACTGTGCACAGCTATGCTGTTAGGTGATGAATAGAACGAGCAAATCGCATTTGATGAAACATCTCTTATTCAAGGGTTTTAAAGTACTGCTTGACAGGAAGTGTTATTAGCCACACTGTAAACAAGCCTGCTCATCTATCATAGGGACTATGTGCAAGCTTGAAGACCTGCTGTGAGTCAGTGACAGAGCTTGCAATGGAATGGTCTGGGCATTTTTATTGTCTTTGCTATTGGTTATTTGCAGAGTTATTTCCAGTGCTTCTTGTCCATTCACAACAGCCAAGAGTTGCTCAGGAGTAAAAACCTTAGTGTTTGTAACCGACACTGCAACAAAATGATTAGGAGACGTAAAATTTACACCTGAGCTTGTAAATGACTGTGATGGTTTTGCAGATCTGGTATAGAGGCCAGGCTTTGTCTGATCCTGTGTTTCCTCACCTGAGGTGAATCGCTGAAGCATGTTGTGGTTTAACCCCAGCCAGCAATTAGCACCATGCAGCTGCTCACTCACTCCTCTCGGTTGGGATGGGGGAGAGAACTGGAAGAGTAAAAGCAAGAAAAAACTGGTGGGTTGAGATAACGGCGGTTTAATAGGCAGAGCAAACGCTGTGCATGCAAGCAAACCCAAAGAAGGAACTCATTCACTGCTTCCCATCGGCAGGCAGGTGTCCAGCCATCCCCAGGAAAGCCGGGCTCCATCAAACATAACAGGTACTTGAGAAGACACCATAACTCCAAATGTCCCCCCTTTCCTCCTTCTTGCCCCACCTTTATATGCTGAGCGGGACATCAGATGTTATGGAAGATCCCTTTGGTCAGTTGGTCCAGCTGCCCCTGCTGTGTCTCCTCACAACTTTTTGTGCACTCCCAGCCTATTTGGTAGTGGGGCAGCGTGAGGAGCAGAAAAGGCCTCGTTTGCTTAGTGACAGCCAAAACCAATAGTGTGCTACCAACGCTATTCTCATCTTAAATCCAAAACACAGCACTAACATAACAGTTACTTGAGAAGACACCATAACTCCAAATGTCCCCCCTTTCCTCCTTCTTCCCCCACCTTTATATGCTGAGTGTGACATCAGATGTTATGGAAAATCCCTTTGGTCAGTTGGTCCAGCTGCCCCTGCTGTGTCTCCTCACAACTTTTTGTGCACTCCCAGCCTATTTGGTAGTGGGGCAGCGTGAGGAGCAGAAAAGGCCTCGTTTGCTTAGTGACAGCCAAAACCAATAGTGTGCTACCAACGCTATTCTCATCTTAAATCCAAAACACAGCACAATACCAGCTGCTAGCAAGAAAATCAACCCCATCCCAGCTGAAAGCGAGACAAAGTAGCATGAAACTCATATAGGAAAAACAAGCATTTTCAGGAACTTTATTTGTTCCTCTCTAAAATGCAAGATTCCAAGAGGGAAGCTGGTTCCATGATCATTATCAACTCCAGTCTGCTAAGGACATGATTTTTTTCTACTTTAAATACCATTGTATAACATTCTAAATACAAAAATCACGTGGGAGTGTTAAACATAAAACCCACCTTCATTCTTTCCTGAGATAAATGAGCCTGTTTCCACTGGATTCCCCAGGTTCACTTGGCTGTTTGTGTATCAGCCACAACTTCCCATTAGGAGCCAGGAAGGAGGAGGTTGTGTATGGTTTTCCCTGAAGAAAACGAGTGTTTCTGCCTTGGGATTGCCCTTGCCTGAGATGGTGTATTTTCAATCTCAAGCCATGTGAAAAAGGATCCCAGGTTACAGTACAAGACTTTCTACCTTCTCTCTCACTACTGCAGCGAGGTTTCTACCTTTGCAGAAAACAGAGGATCAGGTTGAAGTTGCTGATTCTGTTTCCCTCTCAGTGGAGGTGCAATACAATGCTCACTTGGTACAATGGGAATGTCTCTCCCCCCTGCTCTGAAACCTCTCCCTCTGTAGCTGAGCTCTTCCAGGCTTCAGGAGGACTGCTGTTGCGAGGCAGCTCACCGACCACTAGCATTTCCCACTGAGGTTATGTTAAATTTTAGAAACATATTATTTCAAAGGTGGCAGTTTGGGCTTTGCAGAATGGAGCCCTTGATTTTGTTTCTCCTGAGGAAAAACTTCTGAAGACAGTTGTGGAACGGAGATGCAACCTCTCCTAAAATTACTATATTGTTACGTTGCTCTATTTTTAGAAAATCATTCAGATCCTCCTATTACCCCTGAACTAGAAGCTGAAAATTAAACTTCTGTTTCAGACAACCAAGGACATGTCCTGGACATTCAGAGATATGTCCTGCTTGGGGCTCCTTTCTCCACAGCCTTGCATGTTGCTTGTGTACCTGCTCTGCTCTTACTGCTTTTCTGGTGAGCAAATTAAAGCACAAATTTACAAGCTCATAAAAATCTGGAGTCTCAGCCGTTGGGTTGCAGTGCCTGCTCAGGAGGAGGGCTGAGCAGCCGGGGAGTTGGGGGGTATGGTTGCCTGCAAAACCAAAACACAGCTGTTAGGGCTAATTTTAGGTTTTCTAGCCTTGACGCTAGCCCTATATTCCAGCAAGCTGTTTGTAAGTCATAAGCATTCCCAAGCATGTCCCTGAGTTACAGTGGGAATGTTAATGTGACCTTTCTCTAAAATTGTATTTATAGAGGCCTCTGAAATAATGAGAGACATCGGAACAGCCATCCAGTATCTGCATTCAATGAACATTGCCCATAGAGATGTCAAGGTGAGGCCTGAAGGTGTGTGGGCAGGGAGAAAAGAGCAGGAGGCAGAAAAATAAATGGGCAGAGGTGGTTTAAATAGAACGAGGAGTACAATCAGAGCATCAAAGTGTTTCTGTTCCTCTGCCAGTGTGAGAAGGGATCTGTTCACAACTAGTTTGCAACTAGTCAAAGGTCAGAATATTTGTGTGTGTTAATTCCTTCCAATTGTGTCTGGAATGCAGAAGAATCTGGTCAGATGGTTAATTAAAGAGGTACTACCAACTTGCAATCCAGTTAATTAACGAGAATATAACACTGCCCGAAGTGAACTTACACTAGATGCTATACCTCTACATACAGTCTTTGCCAATTATTAGTTGTTTTCAGAATCATACATGCCTAAAAAAAACCAACCCAGAACAAACAAACAAAAAAACCAAACAAACACCAAAACTCCCTTGAAAAACAGGAGAAACCGTGTATATGGGAGGAATAATACCAATTCCATGCATCCAGCCAACTTTAATTGTATATGTAAAGATTTGGGGAAATGGGGAATATTTGGGGAAATCTCAGTTACTACCGTGTGGAACAGTGTGGTTTATGAGCTAAAGTTTGTACCCAGATGTTGTTGTAGAGACTTGATGGGGGTTGTAGTGTTGTGTTTTGTTTCCACTCTGTAAAGCGCGCAGTGTTAGCAGAGACAACAAAGCCACACCAGGTGTTTCTGACACAGGGATACAGCGGTGTGAGGGAACGTGCTGCAGAGCAGGTCACGTAACGATAGACAGAGACATCTGATTTATTCCACACTTCTGAGTTTTTGAATGTTCTACAGATGCTTCTGTGTGTTGAGCTGGAGGGAGAACTGCCATTGCTTAGTGTCACTGAGGGGTATGTTTGAGGGTTCTTTAGGTAGGAACTGGAGAGTGGCTTAACAGTTCAGAGATAGAAAATTTGTTCACTTTTGTGGAGCAATGTACCATTCTCTGTCACCAGCACAGAAACTGAAGCACTTAGCCCCAAATACCACCTACACACACTCAGTGAACTAACGTAGAAATGGTTCAAATAGCTTAATGGATCCTAAATCCTTGGTTTTTTCAACCCCTTTCTTCTTCTGTATGTCCCTAAACACTAGCGTGACAGGGTATAGTTTCCTTATGACTGAGAAACTGGAAAACAAGTTCAAACAATTGCAGATTCTGGAGGTGTCCTGATGTCCCTGTTCTGCACAAGAGCTTGTACTTCCCTCTGTGCCACTTCTGGTTTTGGAGAGCCTTTATGGAGTGTGGAGCAAGAGTGGAATTAACTCGAGTTTCGGGGAGCAGGAAGGGGTCTATGTTTGTATCAGTTAATTCTGATGGAGGTATGTCAGTTGCTCATAGAGAGTTCAGCTGATGACTTCTCTGGTCTTCCACCTCAGCTGCTCGAGTGTGGTACAGAGTGCAGAGCAATCCTGGTCAGTGCAGTGAACTAGAGAGAGGCTGAAGAGGCCAGACTTGCCACCCATTGGACCTGATGAGAGTCTTGTGATTTGCTCTCCTAAATACCCTGTTGAGAAGGTGTTAATCCTTAGTCTAAGTAAAAATGCTACATGTTGGGAAGGAGCTTTCTGCCTGGTGTGGTGGGGATGTGAGAGAAGTAAGAACACCCAGATGCTGGTGGTGATCTGGACAAGTGGGAATGGTTTGAGTTTTCCGTTCATTGGAGACATGTCTTCATTGTCCAGTTTATCCTTTCTCTTGGTGGCCTTTCAGCCTGAAAACTTGCTTTACACGTCTAAAGAGAAGGACACTGTACTCAAACTCACAGACTTCGGCTTTGCCAAAGAAACCACTGTACAAAACGCGCTGCAGACCCCCTGCTACACTCCTTATTACGTGGGTAAGTTATCCAAGATGCATTTCTTTTGTGTCTCAGTCTGTCATTCCTCCCCTTACAGGGGGCCTGTGGGTTGTAGGGATGGATGGGAAATGTTCTATCGTGGATGTAAATGCAAAGAGGTAACCTGCAAAATTCAAACTGGGATCCAGCCCAAAGCTAGTCTGATTCCAGTACAGTTCAGTGCTCCCGCTGTCTTCCTTGGTTGCAGGGGAAACAGCTTTAACAGGGGATGCAAATGAGGATCAAGGAGAGAGAACATATTGCTTCTGATTACACTTGAAGTAATCCTGATGTTTCCTCTGAACGATGCAATAAAAGCCATAATGTGAACTCAGCTTCATGATTATTTGGGTGTTTCCTTGCAAAACTTCCCTTAGCTTAACTAATGCAATGAGAGAGAAGAGAGAGAGTATTGCCTCAGCTGTAAAGCTTCTTAAAGCTGGCAAATGGAGGAATTAGTAATAAAAGACCAATGTGACTTAATCACAGCTGAATTTTTGCCTGCATTTTGTCCAAAGACAGCAGTGTGTAATGAACGCCACAGTAGACTGTCCTTTATGCACTCATTTTAGAGTACATCCCTTTTGGTCTTTGAGTTAATAGTCATTCACCATATGGTATGACTGAGGCAGTCTGTGCCTGGAATTTCTGTGGAAGAAAAAGGGCTTCATTTTTTGAAAGAATTAGTTCTCTTCTAAGATGTAGGTTTTTATAGTTTTGGGGTTTTTTATTGGAAGATATTGTTATTTATTGTTAGTAGATAATAACAATAGCAAAATTTTTTGTCTGGTGCTTTCTTCTATATTTTTGTAAGCTGGGATTAGTGATAAAATGTTAAGGACTTGACACATATATGTTTTTATGCCCTTGTATTTGTATATAAACAAGCTGACATTTCCCTTCTCGACACTTTTGTGTAAACCAGTATGATTGCTTGTGTGTTTAGAGGATCATTTTCCTTACAAAATCAAGCTCCCTGCCAGTTCACCTGCCCCAGGGGGGGAAAAGGTTCCCTCTGAATGTGTCTCTCTATAATTTTGTTACTTACTGAAAAAATACAATGCTCTGGAGGCCAAGGGAAACGACAGTGCTCTGTAGTTGCTGCAGGTAACCACACTCCACCTAGGTATCCTTCAGGATTTTATCACACCCCAAGGAGGTCCTTTCTATTCTGATTCCTGGAACATATGCTCCTGCCTCTTCCCGTGCAGTGTTTCCCTGCACACATTTAGCTATAGCTCCTTCTGCTTTTCTGTAATCTTAGTACACTCTGGAGCAGAGAGACACTAAGGTGAGAAGTAGGGCATTTTGCCAGCTCTGTTTCTCCTTTTTAAAGCTACATTAGATGTGTTGAGGAACTTGTCAATAGAAAACACTACCTAGTTCCTGCAGTGAGTTGCATTTTTTTCATGCCTCTGATACTTGTTGTTGAAGTGTGCTGGAACTTATAAGGTGATGGAGCTGAAAGGAAATATCTGGTACTCTGTTAATTTCTGTTTATCTTCTTCAGCCCCAGAAGTCCTTGGTCCTGAGAAGTATGACAAATCATGTGACATGTGGTCGTTGGGTGTCATCACATACATTCTGTAAGTAGTTGGGAAGAGGCTTGAGGAACAGAAAAAGGACGCATCTTGTTAAATCTATGCTTACAAGTAATTAGTCACTAGGATCATATAACCTTCAGAAGACTGTAAGCTTGTGTGGGACTTTGAGATGAAAGGACTTTCATAGTTATAAGAATTCTTTTGTTCACTCTTACAGCCTGTGTGGGTTCCCTCCGTTCTACTCAAACACTGGTCAAGCCATTTCTCCAGGGATGAAGAGAAGAATTCGGATGGGGCAATATGGGTTTCCCAATCCAGAGTGGGCTGAAGTCTCAGAGGAAGGTAACAATGCTCACTGCTCCTGATGAGTATGTGCATGGTGTTGTGCAGTGGTGGAGTGCTTATAAGAGACTATTTCTAAAACCCTGTCTTATGTTTTGTTTCCCTTTCTTTTAGAATTTAAATTAATTTTTTGTAAGGTGATACAGAGAATGACTGGGAACTCAGACACTAGCCAGCAACCGAAGTACTCTAGAAAGTAAATGACTACTCCAAACTTTCTTTCAAATTCCAGCTCGGGCTGGTGAATGCCGAGATTAAACTCACAGGAAACAAAAGTCTTTAATCCTGAGAAAGGAGACTTCCAGGACAGCTGCAATGCAAGCTGAGTTGGAAGAAAGGCAAACTGTCTTAAGAACTCATTCAGTCTTTGCCCTCCTTGGTGACAGAGCCAGCAAGGATGGCAAGTTTTCATGCTAGCTTTTTGTGATGTAGGAACTTGCCGGCCACCACTTAAACCAAGGTCAATGATTTATTTTGTATAAGTCGTTGACCAAAAGCTGCTGCTGTTCAGCTGTGACCTGGATGGGCTCAAACCGGTGTCCTGAGAGTGCATGGCTTTTATTCCCTCTGATTCTGAAAGTCTTATAATCTGGAAGTCTCACCTGCCCATCATATTAGAGAGGAAGGTCAGCAACCTCTGGGCACATCTTTTTTTTTTTTTTTTTTCTCTAACTTCATACTGCTGCTGCCTGCATCCTGTTACTCTCTGCTCTTTAGCAATAACAAATTATCATTGCATAGTACTGTGATCTGTGGCATTTTAACCCCTCGTTGGAACTCATGGCTGTGTGTGCAGCATAGACTACTAAACATTAATAAGGAGGATGTTCTACTTATGGGTTTCTGGCTTAATATTTTCTCTGCTTTGGGTCTTGTTCGTATTACAGAAGTTATTAAAATGCATGGGCTGCTTGGTCAGAGAACATGCACTTGGAAAGTTTGTAGGGTTTCTGTGTGCTTGCCTGAATGAAGATAGGTGCCCTCTACCTTTGAACCTATTAAAATCAGGTAGTCTGTGTGTATTCTTTTAGGCTGATGGGGCACCCTTAGCAGACTGCTTCTTCTTGCCCTCCTTTGTGCCGTTCTTGTCATAGTTTTCTTTGTCTAATCATTCCATCATTGCATCATCTATGGAGACGTCCTCTAAATTCCCCTCCAGAGTCCTGTAATCATCTTAATGGGCTCTGTTTGTGGTCCCCTCCTTTTGTTTCCTTTGTTTCCTTACCCATTATAGAGTCCAGTTAATCTCTGCTGTAAAACTCCTTTGCAGCATCTCTCAACAAACTCAAGTCTCAACTCATACCTCTGACAGCTTCTTACAAGCATTTAGTCATCTTGCATTCGGTGTTTTTAAAAGAGAACTCTCATGAAGAAGTTTTCCTAGGTTCCCCCAAGGAAGTTATGTCTAAGTCTTTCTAAATAATAATGTCCCTTTCTAAATAAATGTCCCTTGGATGCAGTGTTTCCAGTCTGTCTGCCCTCATTAATGAAACTCTTGTCTGGACTCTCATCATCTCATATGTCAGTTACTTAGTGCTCTTGCTTTGGCAGATACCAGGTTCACAGAAAGCTGCTGCAAAGCCTGTTTGTGCAATCTATTTCTTTGACTTTGTGGCATTTTAGTGGCCTCTCAGTTGTCAAAGAAAAGTTTATTGTCCTTTTTTTTTTCTGCAGCCTGTGCTAGTTTTTGTCTTCTATCATTTCTCAAAACATCAGCTTATGCATTCATTCAGCTTATAATGCCAAGCTTGTCGCCATCGCTCAGACAGGTGGCTTGGCAGCTTTTTTTCCTGTGTTTCTCTTTTTCTCAAGTTCTTGCTCTCAAAGCAGTTGGTTTAGTGATGGAGTTTGGTGATTCCATAGCTGGACTCCATAACCCTTTATTTTTCCTTCCTACCTCTCGTTTTGGATTTTTTCACGTTCTGCCTCTTTAACCTACCACACCATACATGGCTTCTTAACATGATACCAGCAGTAGGTAGGTGTTTTGAGTTCTGCAAAATTATCCTTTTTCATTCAGCAGGTCTTTGTGTTCTTAAGGTTATTTGGGAACACAGTAGTAAACTCCAACGTGCCGCATTGGTCCTGTTTTTCAGCCAAACAACTGATTCGCCATTTACTGAAGACGGACCCAACGGAGAGGATGACAGTTTCTCAGTTTATGAATCACCCTTGGATTAATGTAAGTTTCATATCTCTTTTCACAAGATGAATTCTTACGTGCAGAACTTACATGTAGCTCCACATAGCACAGCAAAAGAATGATAACTTAATAACTTAATTAACCTACTGTGCCCTCCACAGAGGGTCCTCTGCCTGTAGAACCACAGTTCTTCTTGGTGTTACCAGAGGACACACAAAGAGAGACACCCACAGTAGCATCCTTGGAAGCAAAAGCCGAATGTATCTATACCTCCTGTGAGCAGGCAGTCACTGTTGACTCTGCAGCATATGCATGTGTTACTCTCTTTAAAAATATAAAAATAAACTCTATGTACTTACTTCATCGGTGCAGGATTTAGAGAGAGCTATTATTAGTGGCCTGAGGCAGCATTGTGCATAGCTGTGTTAGTGTGAACACACTTCTGTGCTTAGTGGGAATTCTCGTCCTTGGCAGAGTTTGGAAATGGGTGGGGGAGGAGCAAGGGTCTGGGCTTGGTGCCCTGTGAGAGGCTGCTGGGTAGGGTGCCACACAGGGCTATTAATGGTCCCAGTTCAGGTTTCATTCGATGACTTGGTTGAATTTACTTTTCCTTAAAAAATATTTTTTGGAGAAAAAAGAAAAAAAACCACTCTAATAATACAATATTAGTTATTTCAAACAAGAGACAAGAATCCCAGGAATTATCAGGCTGAGCTTCAGGATATCATCTCTGCTCGGTAGATGTCACTTAATAGATTATACTTCCTCCATTTGTGCACAAAAGACAACAGTCTTGTTCTTACTGCCCAAAAACTCAGCAGCCAGGAACAGAATCCCTGGTACTGTGCAGTGCCTTTTTCTCCAGTAACGCTTCACCTGTCTGTGCTCATCCCCAGAGGAAGGGGCAGGAACAGAGGTGTGACTAATAGTCACTGTTTCGATAGTGCCTGTTTGAAGATCTGAAAGCCCCTAGAAGCATATAGAAGTGTAGCTGTTTAACTTCCTTATGAAGTAGATAGATGTCTCCATTTAGAGTTGTGAAAGCTGAGAAATTAAGGTTACAAAGACTCTGCAGAACTAGAACAGAACCTAGACAACGTTTCTAGGTCTTTTTTGACCAAATAAAAATGTAATCACTGTTCAGAATAAATACCTCCAGCTTTAAGTGTTTGAAGACCCAAGAAGGAGGTGTTTCAGAAGTCAGCAGGCGATGAATTTCACAGAATAAGTGCCTAATAGCTAAGGAAGCTACCACCTACAGCGACACATGTTACTTGAAATACACATAGAACCAATTAATGAGGAGGAGATTAGAGACAAGGTCTATAGACTCTGCTGCACCAAAGAGCCGTGCTAGAATTCCTGGGAGAAAGCTCTTGGAGCTGCAGATTGGCTTTTTTTTTTTTTTTTTTTCCTGCTGAACCTATTGTTCCCATGAGGCAGAGGTAGGGAAAGACCAGCATAGTGAATGTCTGTGTTCTTCCTTTTCCTAAATCCCCAAGTGGGAACATGTGTGGGGAGATGCCTTGCACAAGCAGCAGAGGAGGGTGCTTGTCTCTCCTCTCTTTTTTTTTTTTTTTCTCTCTGTTTTTTTTTTTATTACATGGATGGCAGAAGTATTAGTGTGGACTATGCAAAAATTTTCAGTTTAAGTGGAGCACATAATCCTCTACTTAGTTTGTAGATAAGATTTATTTAACAAGAAGTAGCTCATAGCGGATAGGAGGGCAACTTCAACACCTGCTCAGGGACACCATTAAAACCAGTCTGAGGGTTTTCCATTTCCCTCCTCCAGCTGTACTTCATAAAACTATACCCTGGCCAGCTACAGTTCTTTTCCAGAGGAAGCAGGAGTCATGATTTCTGCTTGCACTTCTGTAACCACTGCAGTGGTGCTGTCAGCGCGGTGGAGTATCCGCCCTGCTTACAATGTAATGCTTCTTTGGCAATGACATATACATAATGACTTTGTTGACGTGCAGCTGCATCTGGTGTAAGACAGCACAGCAGTGGACAGCAAGTTTGCATAGAAAGCATAAGGGAGGTAGAATATGAATTTATAGTTTGGGTTATGGACTGGCAAGAACTACTATGATTCTTGCTGAATTTAGCTAGGGAACTGTGCCTCATGCTTTAGGAATTGTACCTTATTCTAATTTAAAGTGTCTACTGATCTTTCATGGCAGGTGAGCGTAGATCTCAATTTTATGTGGAAGAGCATTTCAAGCGATTCTCTGTCTTCTGAACTGTGCCTTCCTCTGAATAATAGTATAATTTCCTCTTTGGGGCACACTGATGATCTGATAAACTGGTAATCTCAGTTAATGTATATGTACAAGAAGATTTCTCCTATGACAAATTCTAGAAGATAAAGGTCAAATTAACCACTTTAAAACATTGACTAATGAATAGTGAAACGACAGAAAAAATCTAAAATGTACATAAAAAATTATCCAGTACAGGGACATTGGCTGGACTGGAAAAGAGCAGAGTAAAACCAACTCAGCACTGATTTCTCTCTCCTTTTGTTCTTTAAAAATAGTGTCATGTGGCAACTACAGTTCTTTCCTACATCATACATGGATTAGCTTATGGAGTAATTGAAAGCATGAATAATGAAGGCCACTGAAGGACATTAGATAAATTTTTATGCCCTCCGTACACATAGAAGAAGAGCAAGCAGTCACTTCACGAATGTGATTTTGCAGAACATTTCTTTTGGTATTTTTCCCCTTTCTCAGAGATCGATGGCAGTGCCACCAACTCCTCTCCATACTGCACGGGTCCTGCAAGAGGATAAAGACCACTGGGATGAAGTTAAAGTGAGTCAATCACAGTTCTGATTTCTTGAACTCAAGTCTGATAAGGGGTGAGATGGGCTGGCTTCTCTGCCTGTGCTTATTTCCTTGGAGATCATGTCTGTTTTGAATACAACCGTGTTAAACAAGGGAAACATAAGCAGTCCTTGTTAGAGCAGTGTATATGATAACCACTTAAAAAGGAAGAATGCTATTTGAGCTTTGTCCAGTAGCCAAATACCAACAAAGTAGATGTTTATGCTCAAAGTTCTCAATGATGCTGCCTGCTGAGCCGCTGTATGTAACCACAGAGCAGAAGGGACAGCACTGAGGGAGCTTGAAGTTCATTATAGTGAAGTGAAGAATATGATGAAAATGCAGAGGGACGGGGTGGGAGGAATGAGCTGCATTCCAGTTTTCTACTCTGTTCTTGTACTGTAAAACAACATTAAATAAGCTCAGCCTTGTCTTGTTTTGACATTTGGCCAGGGGAGATAAAAATATATCTGTCTTTCCCTTAATCTAACCAGGTACCTCACCTACTGTTTGTACTGATGACAGTTGAATGCTTCCTGCACAGAAAAACTATAGGGCAGACTAAAAGTTGTTTGCAAGCTTTAACTCTTTCCTGCTGGCCTTTATCAGGTTGGCATGCTTTTACAATTAATTCTGAATTTTTTACACTTACAATGCTTGCCATTTTGATAATTGCAATGTTCCTATAGTGCATTTTACTGGTTACTGATTTTATATAAATGAGTGATGTCTCAGCCGTTGAACTACGTAATGTTAAAATGTCACAGGACCAAGCCAGCATTTGCCTCTCGAGTCAGAGATCAAACAGATAGTTTCACTTGCCATTCGTCATTTCCACGTTTCTGAGAAATTCTTATACTTTTACTTTTTATAGGTCCCTTGGGCCACCAGCATTCCCATAATATTTAATTGTTTTTCCTTTCCTGAACTAAATGCGTAGACATTCATTTACTTCAGCAGATTTTTTGCTAAAAGCCTTATTCAAAAGTCTAAAATTTTCCTGCACTTAAACATTAATTCAAACTAAGGAAGTGTGTGAGTTTGAAGCACATGCTTCTAAACAACTCTGTGTGGACTCTCTGTTCTGGTTCCTGCTGACCTCGTTTGGTACCAGAGCAGGGGAAGCAGCACCCTGACTCTGGGGTAAGAAGCCCAGGCTCAGTAACTGGTGAAGACCCAGGTCCAGCCAGTAAGAAATGCTGGGAGTTAGGGACATGGTGGAATTTAGGTCAGCAGAGTGTGGTCCTACGTGCTCACGTATGAAACACTCTGGGAATAGTTCCTCCTGAATGAGTCCATGAGTAGAACGAAGCCTTTAGTCATAGTCCAGTGCAGCAGAAAGGGCTCAGCTGTTTCTGGCCATGTTACAACAGAGGGTTCCTTTTTGTACCTTCGTCTCTTGGCAGTTTTGGGGGGTGGCTGCACTCTCTGCCTCAGCCTTTTCAATAAATTCCTTCCCTGGTTTCAGGAGGAGATGACCAGCGCTTTGGCGACCATGAGGGTGGACTATGATCAGGTGAAAATCAAAGACTTGAAAACGTCCAACAACCGCCTCCTGAACAAACGCCGTAAGAAGCAGAAGCAGGCAGGCACCTCTTCTGCAGCCCCGGGGTGCAATAACCAATGAGAAGAGAAGCCAAGGACCTGTGGGTGGAGGGTAAAAATTAAAAGGAACAATTTAAAAATCAGTGCGCTCAACTCAGTCCGTACCACAAAGGCAGTGAGACTGTGAAGAACCTGTCCCACAAAGAGGGAGCAGTGTGAAAGATTACATTTTTGTAACTTGAATCGAGGCTTTGCTTTTAAAGGTTAATGTGTATGACATGATTCTGTTGCATATTGCTGGGGAAGGTACAGTAATACCAGAAATGTTACGGGTTTTTGTTTTGGCCTTAAGTGTATGGGACGAGAGGAGGGAACAGGAGGCCGTCTCAGCATACTAATGCACTCAGGCTTTAACAGCCATCTGCAGGAGTAGCTTTTGCCACCGTTTTAAACTTGGGAGTAGAAAAAATGCCAAATGTTCTGTTGGTAGTGTTTTAGTAGCTCAATCATGAGTACTGAGAAAGGAGAAAAATGTCACTGCTCTTTATGTGAGTAGCACAGGTGCCGTTCTATTACAGATACATCTGGACAGCATTTCATGTTAGAATTGGTAATAATCAATATTTCCAAACTTACCTCCTGTAGTTACAGAATGTCACCTAAACAGTACACAGTTATTCCTGTTAGAGAAAAAAAAGCATCCACGCATTTCCATTAAAGTCTTCATGTAGTCTCATGTGAAGATTTGAGTTTGTTATAGATTCTCATTTAATAACATGTAAGTTTTCTAAACTGTAACCATTACATCATGTCTATGCCACTGTCAGATCCCTCTCTTGCAATGTTTTTAATTTAAGTAGTATTTTATGTGACGAGTTTTAATAAGGATTTAATTAGTTGAAAGTATCCCACAGAGAATATTGCTGTTCCTCTTGGATCCATGACTTCTAGGGTGTACAGCTGGACATGCAGTTGTGTACAAGAGCCTGCTCTAGAAGAGAGACTTCTGAAATTCAGGAAGAAGTGATAAATGCGTATTGTCTGAATGGACCCTGATGTCTGCCAACATCCCTTCTGGTAATTATCTCCAGATCTGGTGCCTAAGATGCGCTGATCATAGCAAATTTTGGGGTGCTGGGGTTGGTTTGTTTCCTGGGGTCGGGATGGGGAGGATGCTGCTTTATTTGCAGGGTTTTGTCAGTGTTTCTGTTGGGTCAGGACGGGGAGGATGCTCCTTTATTTGCAGGGTTTTGTCAGTGTTTCTGGATGCAAAGATTTTTGCCACCTAAGGGAGATTACCTACAAGTATATTCACCCATTGTTTTTTTCCTATTCTAATTCTTGTTCTATGGGATTTTAGCCTCGGTTTACTAATTTGTTCTACTTTGTGATCAAAAGATTTCCTCTCACTGTATTTTGGGTTTGGTTGGGTTTTTTTTTTAAGTTGAGGTGAAGCAAATATTTGTTAAAGTATTATCAGAGTCTAGGATGAAAATTATGTGCTTCCAGTGATGCAGGCAAAAAACTACTTTGTGGTGGGTGCACAGAGTACTGGTGTGTCCGTGGGCTCGGAAGGATGTTAAAAGACAAAAAGGAAAACAAGGCTTCAGAGAGGATCTGAATCATCAAATCTGACTGTCACATAGACCTTGTTCCGTCCAACAGAGATCAGCTCGAGGCTTTGGACCTTGTCTGGGGAGCCCTGATCCCATCTTCACAGTGTTGGATGAGAGACCTCCATTCTTCTTTGTGAACTGGTCCTAGGGTTTTATGAACTGCTTTTAATAAATCGTGTTACGACATTCCTTCCTCCTGGCATCCCTGCTTTTGTTGAGATGGTGCAGAGTTTGAATTGCTTTGCGAGGTGCATCCGTGTTGAAGGGGATGGGGAAAAGGGAGAAGGAAAGTGTACAATGATGTCCACATTCAAAGGCTACCCAACTTTGGGCAATTTTTAAGATTACAAAGGTTTGGTTTTAAATATCAGTCTCTGCAAAGATGTATTTTGAAATTATCTCGTATCTCTATGATTGTAGTATGTATATCTATTTATTTTATCATATTACTCCTATGAATTATGCAAATATTATTCACTACCTATAAATGGTAATACAACGAATGGGGAGTTGTGATGTGCTCTGGGTCCAACAGTTGGGATTAGAGCCAAATCCAGGTTTCTGTCCCTTTATCCAAATATTTTTGCGGGTGTTATATGTCCATCCCACCTACCTTCCCACCTCTGTGCCCCGTCAGGGTGGTACCTGCTCCCACTATCCCAGTTAACAGGGCAACCTGTGTATAATGTGGTTACATCCTGGCTGCCTGGGGCAGGGGGGTACTGGAACTGGTGCAACCCACAGTTTTGCTTCTCTCTTGCCCAGAGTTTGGGCTGGAGCTCTCAGTTTCCAGCTGGTGCCTTCTTGCGTGTCAGTTCAGTCTGGAGCCTGAAGACACGGATCTGTTCCTGAGTAGTTTTCCATGGGGGGGCTGCAATTTGGAAACTGGTGTGATGAACTGATGCGTTGGGCACAGCACCCTCAGCTTTTAGGCCCTGAATAGTAGGACAATACCATCTCCTTTAGTTTGGACTAACGGTTCTTGCGTTCTACCCCGCAGTGACAACATCCAGGAATACTGGATTCCCGGTTGGAACCTGAGGAGAGCCTGAAAATGGCAGACATGGAAGCGTGTGCAAGTATTGTACAGACCTGTTTGTGGTTATTTTACAGAAGGAAGGAGGCAGCTCCCAGGGAGGCAGGAAGCAGCTGACGTGCAACGCCCGGAGCCTCGCGCTGCTGCCCTGCTTCTCACACAGCTGCCTTCTGCGTCGCGGCGGGAGCAGGGGATGAGAGCCCTGGAGACGTGTTTTAGCTCCATCTGAATCAGCCCGAGCTGTGAGAATCCGCCGGGGAGCAGGTTTGGGGACCGTGGTTGTTGTCACCCCTCGCTGGGGTGCAGCCACCCCCCCAGCAGTGTCCCTGTGGGCACATACCTACCGCTCTCTGCGCCACCTCCTGCCCGCCGCGCCGCCGTGCAGCCCAGCATCCCCAGCATCCCCAGCAGCATCAAGGTCACTGGGCTTTCCCGAAAGCTCCCACAATTCCAGGAGCTGGCATCGGTTAGAACTAAAACCTACGTGATCTCAGGGTCTGTGTCAGGTTCCTGTTCTTGCCAGAGGCTGCGGGGAGCGCTGCCCGTTGCTGGCACGTGGTGCTGTGCCCTGTGGGAGCCCGGGATGAGATTCCTGTGTACGTTTTGCAGAAGATCTCTCCTCTCTGGCTGCCAGCTCCGTGATGTGAAGGGCCCGCCTTCTAGCTGCATTCACACACATTATAAAGAGCTTTGGTGTGTGCTAGTGGTGGTATTTCGGTCTTGCCTCTTCCCCCAGCCATATAGTATAATAGTCTCTTTAGAACCTGCTGCTTGGGATCCAAATTTATAGCCTGTTTTTAGAAAGGATAGGCTATTATAGAACTGATTGTGCATTTGCATATTCATCAGCCATATAGAGGAGGTAAAGAGCTGGGAAGGGAAAGAAGAAATGAATGGTCAATAGAGTAGGCTTCAAGGAGAACACAGATTAAAAGGTCTATTTATTTTTTTACAGCAGAAGCTAAAAAAGGACTGTGCACAATCCCCCGCCCCCATTCCTTTTCATAGCTATTGCTTATGGGCCGCTGCCTCCCCTTGTGTTTCCCTGCACTGTGCTCCTCTCCTACCACACGTTCTTGCTCCCTCACTCACCAGGGCACTTTCTCAGGTTCACACACAAGTGAGTACACAAGCACAGATAAAATTCCCTCCCTCACTTTTCCATTTCTTTAACTATGCACTTTTTTTTTCCTCCGTGACCAGACGTGCCATATGATGTTTTTTTTGTTTCCTTGACATGGTACAATTAAAACCCAACGTTGATGGTAAGCTCTTGGCCTATTTCTGTGTTTTTCTATTTGTCAAAGCCCAGCGTGCAGTCCGGGGATTGCTTTTTGCTCTTAACACTTGGCTGCCTGGAGCCCAGAGGCCCAATTACGTAACTGCTTCTGACGTGGCTGACGGGAGGGATAATGAGAATGCTCAGTTTGATCTAATTTCCCGTCCTCTTTTCAAGTCAGACTTTATTTGGCCCTTGTTTAGACAAAGGCGCTTTTGAGAAAAGGAAGATTTAGTAAAGAGCAGAGAACTAAAGCTTTTAATTATTTGTGCATAATCAGAAGTACATGTACTGTTTTAAGCCTGTGTTAGAGGTAGGGAAGAGGTGTTCATCTGTGTCCAGCTGCTGTGGTGGATTTGCACACTCAGCCTGAGGATGAAGCCACAGGGGCCAGTTCTGCCTTGTCCTCAAGAACGCTCATTCACTGGTGCCCTTCCACACTCACCACCAAACCCCAGGGACAAAGGGAGTGCAGGCAAGCAGGGAATGAATCTACATGTGGGAGAACTCCTTTCTTCCAATGCTGCATGTTTTGGAGAGGTTTTTTGTGGAAATACCAGAATTCCCTTTTTCCTCGGTTCCAGTATTTCCCCTCTTTACCTGGGTGTTCTTAGTACTGGAGCTGGCGTAGCTGAGAATGAGTGTTGTTAATTCTCTTTTAGAGAGCCTAAACAGGAGGAAGGCAGGGAAGCAAACTTGGAAGACAGAGAACACGTACTCGAAACCTCAAAGAAAACAAAGTATTGCTAAAAATTCTTGCAAGCTAACAAGCAAGTCTACTTCAGGTATATACTTAAATGCATGTCACATCTGGAAATTGAGGTTAGAGCAATCCCAGTTAATAACATTTGCTGAAGAAATGTTTCCTTGAAATCTTTGCACCAGGGAAAAAAATGCTTTTTGAGTATTACATACAGCTTTAAAATAGGATTATTTTTTTTTAGACTGTGTGGTTTGAAGAATTTAATGGGGCAAAGGGAGTAGGAATGGGGGATGATATGTCATGTTGAAGAATAAGAAATGTCTGCTGTTGTGTTCTACTCCAACTTATTTTTTTACTGCAGGTGCCACCTCTGTACAGACATAGCAGGATAGAGTCAACTTTTTATTAGTCTTTTTTACCACTGGAGGAGGAGGATGTTCCTGTGCTCTAGGGAAATGTGGAAGATCACCCTGTGACTGTAGATGAACACCTGCTTTGGTAAATCTGTAAATGATGCCTAACGTTTATTTTATTTTGCAATTTCCTGCCTCGAGAATCTCCCAGGTGCCAAGACCTGATAGGTCTGCTCTAACTGCAGAAAGGCACAGAGGCATCCTTGTCGGTGGGTTTCCTCAGACTACTTGAGGCTGCAAAAAGAAGCAAGTGCTGAAATGTAGCGCAGTAGTTTTAGCTTCCAGGAGACATAAGGGAAAAAATGCAGCTTTCAAAGAGCTGGAGATGATGTGAGGGGCCAGGCTGTCTTTTGTCTGAGGAGGGGAGGTACGTGAAGATAATTTACAGTTCAGCTTCCAGATCTGAAACTGAACACGTTTTTGCTGTGTGGGGCTGCAGGCCCAGATTATTGAAGTCTCTGCTGCTTTGACAACCTGCTGGGGTTTCCCTGCTCTCAGCTGCTGAAATGGACTTGTTTGGTCCATTTGGCATTCTTGGTTGTGGGGCTGCATTGAACCTGAATAATCTAAAAAAAAAAAAAAAGAGAAGTCATGTTGTTTTCTTCCATGTTAAGCTTCTAAATTTATTTCTGTTGAATTTTACCGCATTGAAGTTAATTGCCAGTATTGCTAGTGTAACAACTGCTCCTTATTGCACCTTCTTTATCTGTTAACAGTGAGCATAAGTGCTTCTCTTTTTGGGGGAGGGTGTGTCTTTTTGTCTTTTTTGTCTTAAGAATTTTATTCTGGTTTTGAAATTAAATGGCGAGGTTATTTTGCCTAATATTGTTCTCCCAAAACTTCCAGGCTAATCCATTTGGGAAACATGGAAGATGTTCTCAAGAGATTTCTTATTGCTTAGCTACTGAAACACCTGCTAAAGCTGAGCACTTTAAAAAAACTGAAAATTATTTAAATGTGAAAAAGAGTGGGTTGATCTGGAAAAGAAACTTCTCAAAAGGCTAAAATTAGAATGGAATGTGTTAGAAGAGAAATACTGGTGGGGGAGGAGGACTAAGGTTTTTTTTAAATAAAAATGCTACCACTTGAGTAATGATCAAGGAATTTCTGGTTAGGATATTAGCTGCTTCTCCAACCTAGAGCAGTTCCTGAATTCAGGAATAATTATGTTTCCCTAAAGATACATATACAATACAGACTCCATTTTTTTACTGAGGTAGTCTAAAGTGAGGCTCAGCTTGATGCTTATAAATGAGACTTATAAATGCTGTTAATATACCAAATAAATGACCCTTTTTTGGACCAACTGATAATGGAACAAATCTGCTTTGCAGATGAAGTTCTGTTTTCTCAGAGTTCCTTGAGTGAGTTCCCTTTCTGCTTGCAGAAACCTCATCAAGGTGAAATTAACTTTCTTCTTTGCTTTTAGAGATTTTGCATTTCTCTCTTCCACTTCATCGCTGCAGGTTTGACACTTGTCTTGAGTAAAAATCTAATCAGTTGTCTCAAAGCTAACCTTCCGTGATGCAGTGATTTTTCTTTTCTGGCTCAATTGCAGTTGTACCACCTCTTCTCTTATTTCTGAACTTCTTGTGGTGGTGTAAAGTAGTGGAAGATTTTCAAGGAATCCCGCTACCTGGTAGGAAACAAGAAACTACATTATATGTAAAGTGCTAAGGAAGAAAGTTCCAAGTAATGGGTAATAGTAGGAAAGATATTCCTCTGAGGGTAATAGAAGACCTCCACAAAGAAATGACCCCAA